GGCAGATCGTAACGCGTATGGCAGGTGTGCTCAACCTTTTGAAGAGCGAGGGCCACTTAAGTGATTTGGTAACCGGTCGCGGGCCACAATGAAATGAAATGGTTCCGAATCTTGAATTTATTTGAAATTTTTAATAGCATGATGAATATTTTCCTCCTGCGGCCGCAGAATGGCCCAAAGAAGGGAGAGGAGGAGAAGCCAGGTTTCAGCGGACAATGGAGGGTTCCTGTGTATGCTGCTCCTTCTGTCCAAGTGTAAAACAGAATGTGACCTGGAGGTCACCTGGGCCCCCTGGAGTATGGGGCAAGGTTGCCCTTACGACCTCTGATGCTACACCAGTGGTTGAGGGTGGTAAAAATGACCCCACCCCCAAAGCACAAACGTAAACAAGGCTTTACTGTCCTGAGCCCCCTATAAGGTTGCTATAACACTGATGTGTCGTGGTCAGGGACGGACTGACCATTCGGGTGCTCGGGCACTGCCCAAGGGCCTGGGGTCATTAGAAGGCCCCATCGGTTACCCCTGGAACCTTTCATAGGGTTTTTCATAGGCTTTTTTGAGTGTGGGAGAGGACACAGGGGCCCCATGATCCCCTATTGCCCGGGGGCCCCATGAGTTTTCAGTCCGCCCCTGGTCATGGTTTACCTGCACCACACCTGCAGCTTTCCTATGGGGTAGCTAGCTGTGCTTTGCCATAGACATCTATTATATCTTGTGGGTGTGGTGCACTTTCAAAAAGTGCACCACAACTCCTGCATTCAGTTTAAGGTCGAGGGCCACATCAGAGGACTCTGAGGGCCACAGGTTGAGCACCCCTGATGTATGGTAACCCGAAGCATTATTTTTGGATCTCTGATACAATTGCTGGATAGCTGACCACTACCCAGTTTTTGTTCCAGAGCTGGCACCGCATACAGGGACTTCCAGGGCTGCTGGTAACTGCGTTTTTTTTTCTAAATCTCTCTAGATCGCCATTATTTTTGGAGCTTGGTTTCAATTATAGTTGCCGTCAATGGGACCTCGGAGGCTGCAAGTTTTTAAAATGTTCAGCCAAACCACAACTGATTGAAATTTTCAGAAACTTACTGAAGGTCAGCTGGTTACTCATTGCACAAAGCCACCAAGGGCAACCAAAGAGGAATGTGGGAGGCCGTAAGCAGAACTCCGGGCAGATATAAAAGACACAAACAAATGCATCTCTGTAATCCTTATTTAGAAATGGATTCTGGATGGGACCAATCCAAAAAGTGGGCATGATGGGTGGTCATCACATATTTAGAGATGGATTCTGGATGGGACCAACCCATAAAGTGAGCCTGATGGATGGTCATCACATATTTAGAGATGGATTCTGGATGGGGTCAACCCATAAAGTGAGCATTATGGATGGTCATCACATATTTAGAGATGGATTACAAATGGGACCAACCCATAAAGTGAGCATGATGGATGGTCATCACATATTTAGAGATAGATTACAAATGGGACCAACCCATAAAGTGAGCAATATGTATGGCCATCACATATTTAGAGATGGATTCTGGATGAGACCAACCCATAAAGTGAGCATGATGGGTGGTCATCACATATTTAGAGATGGATTCTGGATGGAACCAACCCATAAAGTGATCATGATGGATGGTCATCGCATATTTAGAGATGGATTCTGGATGGGGTCAACCCATAAAGTGAGCATGATTGATGGTCATCACATATTTAGAGATGGATTACAAATGGGACCAACCCATAAAGTGAGCAATATGTATGGCCATCACATATTTAGAGATGGATTCTGGATGAGACCAACCCATAAAGTGAGCATGATGGGTGGTCATCACATATTTAGAGATGGATTCTGGATGGAACCAACCCATAAAGTGATCATGATGGATGGTCATCACATATTTAGAGATGGATTCTGGATGGGGTCAACCCATAAAGTGAGCATGATGGATGGTCATCACATATTTAGAGATGGATTACAAATGGGACCAACCCATAAAGTGAGCAATATGTGTGGCCATCACATATTTAGAGATGGATTCTGGATGGGACCAATCCAAAAAGTGGGCATGATGGGTGGTCATCACATATTTAGAGATGGATTCTGGATGGGACCCACCTATAAAGTGAGCATGATGGGTGGTAACCACATATTTAGAGGCGAGGCCTGGTCAGGGCCGACCCATAAAGTGGTCATGAAGGGAGGCAGTCATATAGTAATTAAAAATACATCATTAAATGCAATTGTTTAAATACAAGCAGTGTAAGTACCTGGAATAAGCCCCTTGCAGGGTTGGAGAGGCCTGTGAGAGGAAGTAGCAGCACAAGGAGCCAATCAGGTCATGTGCTGACTAGAAGCATGCCAAGGAGAGAGCAGAGTGACAGGATTTCATCACTGTGCTGCTTCTCCTTTCACTGTCCTGTCGCAGGCTGGGGGCTGGTCCGGGATGAATGATACCATTACTGATACCATCAGACTGTGGACATCTATTGACAGAAAAAAGTACTGCAGGGAAAATCTTCGGATTGAATTTTGTAGTGAAGGCTGGTGCTGTTATTTTGTCTTTTAGCACAGCGTTTTTCAACCACTGTGCCGCGGCACACTAGTGTGCCGTGAGATATTGTCTGGTGTGCCGTGGGAAAAATTCCAATTTCATCTGTAACATGTGGCTTCGGCTCACAAATAGACCAATCATTAGAATCTAATGATTCAGTGGTCGGCAAGCCGCGGCTCGCGAGCCACATGCGGCTCTTTACCCAGTCTAATGCGGCTCTTCTGTGTGCCGGGCGCCTGCTCCCCTCCCTCCTCTCGGTCGGCCGCTCCCCTGCCTCCTCTCGGTTGGCAGCCCCAAAGTCCGCGCGGACCTTTTAATCCGGCTTGCGGATGTGGCTGTCAGGATGTGTGTAGGCGGGGCAGCGTGCCGAACGTGAGGGGAGGGGAGCTAGGCTCCTCTCACAGTCCGCCCTGAAGACCCGAACGGCGCGGGAAGACAGCGAGAGGAACGCAAAAGGTAAGTGAATTGACACGGGGGACTTGGCTTACTAGAAGGGGGGGGGGGGAATAGTACTGTGGGGGATGAAATACTATATGAGGGATGAATTACTTTATGAGGGATGAAATACTATATGGGGGGATGAAATACTATATGGGGGATGAATTACTATATCAGGGATGAATTACTATATGAGGGATGAAATACTATATGGGGGGATGAAATACTATATGGGGGGATGAAATACTATATGGGGGGATGAAATACTATATGGGGGGATGAATTACTATATGAGGGATGAAATACTATATGGGGGGATGAAATACTATATGAGGGATGAAATACTATATGGGGGATGAATTACTATATGAGGGATGAATTACTGTATGAGGGATGAAATACTATATGGGGGGATGAAATACTATATGAGGGATGAAATACTATATGAGGGGGATGAAATACTATATGGGGGGATGAAATACTATATGGGGGATGAAATACTATATGAGGGATGAAATACTATATGAGGGATGAAATTACTATATGAGGGATGAAATACTATATGGGGGGATGAAAATACTATATGGGGGGGGATGAAATACTATATGGGGGGATGAAATACTATATGAGGGATGAATTACTATATGAGGGATGAAATACTATATGGGGGGATGAAATACTATATGGGGGGATGAAATACTATATGAGGGATGAATTACTATATGGGGGGATGAAATACTATATGAGGGATGAATTACTATATGAGGGATGAAATACTATATGAGGGATGAAATACTATATGGGGGGATGAAATACTATATGAGGGATTAATTACTATGCTTACTATGGGGGAATATTACTATACTTACTATGGATGACACATACACATCATTCATCTACTCTTGGTCCGGCCCCCGGGTCCAATTATAAAATACTTTATTATTTCATAATAAAGTAATTATAAAATAATTTCTTTGTGTTTGATTCCTATTCAAGAGAATTACTTTATATATAGTCAATATAGGCACAGAGGTAAATTTTTTTAACATTTTCTAATGGTGGTGTGCCTCGTGATTTTTTTCATGAAAAAAGTGTGCCTTTGCACAAAAAAGGTTGAAAAACACTGTTTTAGCAGGCTATTCATTTTTTTCTGGTTATTTTTAGTGGAAGTTAGGCTTTCAAGGTTGTGCAGAAGTACTTAAAGGTGCATACCACTTGCATTTAAGATCAATTTGAAATGCTTCTGAACTCCTCCTCCACAGCTACATCTGACCTTTAGTTGACCTCCTTGTAAGCTGCTTCGCCGTTTGCATTGAGTTGTAATAACACAAAAGCCATTCCGGTGAAACAAAAGTCCATGCATGCGGGTCCTAAAGAAGGAGAACCTCAACAGACTGCGTTCTTCTAAAAAAAAAAAAAAAAAAATGCTTATCCTCTGGATTCATTGTTTCCTAAAATGATGACCTGAAACGCGTAAGGACCTGGGATGTGAGACTGACAGATCCGCAACGTACTTTGGTGACTTAGAATGTATCGGAGACAGAGGATCAGCATGAGGGCCAAGCAACTAGGAAGACAATCCTAACCATTCCCCCATCACAAATTTTAGACCGCACTTCCATAGTACCCCAAAGACCAACAATATCAAGAATGTGACTCCCACTACCAACTTAAACTTCTGACATCAGGGGCGGACTGACCATTTGGAAACTCGGGCACTGCCCGGGGTGAGTAGGGGGCCCCATGAGATGCCCCTGGTACCTTTTTTTTTTTTATATTTTTTTTTTTTAGTTTGGGCAAGGACACAGGGGCCCCATGATCCCCTAATGCTCGGGGGCCCCATGAGTTGTCAGTCTGCCCCTGCCTGGTATTTTTTTTATAGGCTTTTTTGAGTTTGGGCAAGGACACAGGGGCCCCATGATCCCCTATTGTCCGGGGGCCCCACGAGTTCTCAGTCCGACATGTTTTCTCCATCTTGCGGTTCCATGCGTAACTTTTCTCTTGTCTTGCACAGGTCTCAATCGGTGTCCCCTCCTCCGGTTTTGTCTCCGGTCTGCACCCCTTCATATCCGCTTAGTGACAGCGAGGAATTCTTCCAGTCCAACCGGCTGCCCAGCATCAGCACCAAGTTGATCATCAAAGACTGGACCTTGCGCGGTTCCAGCGTGCGTGACCAACGCCTGAGCTCCCCGGAGAACGACCCTTCCAACCACCTCCAGAAATCGGTCAGCGTCGCCTGCCTGGACAAAAGACTTTCGGTGTTCAAGGGCCCCAAGCAGAAAGATGATGCCCAGGTGGGGAAGGACGGAGACGTGATCGGAAACTGCCAGCTTAACCGCAGCACGCTCTCTCTGGGATCCGCCGCCAATCAGCGCAACCGGCCCCACAACCGCGTCACGGTGCACTCGCAGGTGCTGGACATTCGGCGTAAGATCTCAGAATGGGAGTGCAGGAGGGACCCTTCCCCCAGGCTCAGCCTCTTTGTGGACAAAGGAGACCAGGGCGAGCGCTCTACCAGCGAAGGATGTCCCAGCATGTTGGCGTCGCCATGCAGTGAAAAGACGTTCGATTTCAAAGGATATCGGAGAATGAGCAGAACATTTTCTGACTGTTCTTACCCTGAAACGGAGGAGGAGACCTCAGAGCGTGACTCCCTTCACAGTTTCGAGAGGCGGTCAAGTCGATCCGAACCTGCCAATGCCTTTGTCCGGGGTCATGCCAGGAAGGAGTCCTCGGCCGTCCTCAACCGGATCCAAAAAATCGAGCAGGCGCTGAAGGCCAACCCGGGCATGGGACTTCCTCAGCTGCCCAGCAGTTGCTTCAGCGTTGACCTGGGCCGGAAACGGTCCATCACCTCCGGTACCTTAGAGAGCCCGAGCGACAAACCTGAGAATGTAAATACTGTAAATGAGCAGGAACACTTCAACGACAAAAACGCAAAAAAACAAGCCAGGAACGACTGCAAACTCGGGCGGCTCCCCCTCGGTTCCTGAGGGCCCCGCCAACGATGTCAACCCGGTCCCTAAGCCGAGACGGACATTTGAGTATGAAGCAGACAAAAGCCATCGGAACAACCCAAATAATGGTCTACCTCCTTCCTCGTCACCGGTCTCCCCACCCCCTCTCCCGTCTACACCGGCACCCCCAGTCACCAGGAGGCCGAAAAAGGAGCATCGGAAACCCCAAAACCGGTAAGAACAATTCAGTGATTGTCGGATCGTTCTCTGTGGTGCCACCCAGAAGCCACTGCAATCTTCCACCATGGCTTCGAATACTTGGAGGCAACACAGACTGGACCAGGCGGGTCCAGGGGCGGACTGACCATTTGGAAACTGGGCATTGCCGAGGGGCATGGGCAGACTGACAACTCATGGGCCCCCCGGGCAATAGGAGATCATGGGGCCCCTGTGTCCTTTCCCAAACTCAAAAAAGCCTATGAAAAAGGTACCAGGGGCATCTCATGGGGCCCCCTACTGACCCCAGGCCCTCGGGCAATGCCCGAGTTTCCAAATGGTCAGTCTGCCCCTGGCCCGGGGTCAGTAGGGGGCCCCATGAGCTGCCCCTGGTACCTTTTTCATAGGCTTTTTTGAGTTTGGGAAAGGACACAGGGGCCCCATGATCCCCTATTGCCAGGGGGCCCCATGAGTTGTCAGTCCACCCCTGGGCGGGTCATCACTTTAGTATGGCACTCCATCCTGGGGCCCCGAATACCCATTCCCCAACCTGACCCTCACTGCTATAACCGAAACGAATCGATCCGAAGTTAAACGAAACAACATTTTTTTCATTCTGCACTTGTCTGGTATTTCTAAGAATCTGAATCTCCAATCTCAAGTGCAGAATGAAAAAAAAAACGTTTCATTTAACTTCGGATCGACTCGTTTCGTTACTAATTTTGTTTTGTTGCATTCACAACGAAATTAATTTCATTTAGTTTAGTTTTGTTTCGTTAAATGCGCTTTGACCGGATTAGACGTTTTCCACTGGATTCCAAATCGAAAATATCGAATTATTCTGAAGAATAACTTTATCTGTCTATAACTATAGATTCAAAATTCATATTTTGGAAGACGGCTTTCATCCTACTATTCTGTTCTATTCTATTCATTGCTTTACTGTTCTTCTTTTTTTATTCCTTTATTTTCTATTTTATTTCTAGTCTATTCTGTTTTATTCTATTCTTTTTGAAATTCTAATTTCGGAAGATGGCTATAGTCTTTATATTTTATTCTATTCAAAATGCAAATTTCAAAATACGAAATTTGAATTTTGAAAAATGGCTATATTCTTTCTATTCTATTTTACTATTCTCTTTCAAATTCAAAATCTATTTTCTTTTTTTTATTCTATTCTAATCTATTATTTATTTTTTTCTATTCTGTTTTATTCTTCTATTCTTTGCTTTACTATTCTTTTTTTCTATTCCTTTATTTTTTCTATATCTTTTATTTCTTTTCTATTCAGTTTTATTCTATTCTTTTTGAAATTCTAATTTCGGAAGATGGATATCTAGTCTTTATATTTTATTCTATTCAAAATTCAAATTTCAAAATACGAAATTTGAATTTTAAAAGATGGCTATATTCTTTCTATTTAATTTTATTCTATTTGAAATTCGAATTTCAAAATCTGAATGATAGAAGACAGCTATATTCTTTCTATTCTCTTCTATTCAAATCTATTCTCTTTTTTTTTTTCTATTCTAATCTATTCTTTTATTTTTCTATTCTATTCTGTTTTTATTTTCTTCTCTTCTTTTTGAATTTTGTAAGACTGCTATATTCTTTCTATTTTATTCTATTAAAAATTTGGATTTCGAAAGATGGTTATATTCTTTCTATTCTATTCAGATCTACTCTATTTTTTTCCAATTTTTTTTGAACTCTCAGACTCTGAGACAAGGGGGGGAGCAAACTAAGATTTGGTGGGGCACAGCCCACTAAACCTCCCTCTCTACATGGGACCCCCCTGCATGCAATGCTCCCAAGAAACTTCATTGGGGGAGATATCTGGGGTGTGAACAACTTCTGAGTAACATTTGGATTATAGAAGTACTAGAGTCGGTCCGATGCATGGACAATCCAGGTTCTGTATGCTCACCCTAGAACCTCAGGTGGGCGGAGTTGGGAATCAAGATTTGAATTGCCTATTCTCAGACTCGTGAACAAGGCAGACCCCTCCCAGCAATGAGATTTTTGAGTTGGGTAGCCCTGGGGCACAAATCAGAGGCCGGCGTGACTTGAGTCCTCCCGTCTGTCTACTTGGTGGGTTTTCCTCCATGGCCGGCGGGTCATAGAAGTTAGAAACGCTGACATAGACCAGACCGCCTCCCATCTTCCCATCCTGTCTATTCTCTGCAGAAAATCTCTGGAGTTTGAAGATGCGTCCAGCGTCCAGTCCTTGGGCTCCCCGTCTCCGGTACAGAACGGTACAGAGAAGCAGCACCGATCCGGTTCCAAAAGCACTTTAGAAGAAAACGCCTATGAAGACATCGTGGGTGAGTCCCCGGAGCTCCGTTCCTTCCAATTGCCTACATGGGTGTCACGTGACATGTCTGGGAGGTTTCAGGTGAGAGAGGATCTATGGGAAGAAAAGTAACGTGTACGCAGCACCAGGAGGGATGCTGGGGATACCATACTTTATCTAAGCCCCTCCCCCCATGAGTCCTTTATCATTCATTCATTATTGGATTTGTCAAAGCATTTTGTGATGGACTATTATTAACTAATTGTGTACTTTGGGGATACGACATATGCTCAAGAACTGCACAGGGTATACCTAGCCAGGGCCAGGACGAGGGGGTGGGCAGGAGCCGCGCAGGATTTCTCAACCCTAGTTGAGAAACCTAGATGAAGAACCTAGAAGCGTAGATGGACTCCTCTTCCTTCACCCAGCAATCTGGAGGTATCCCTGAATAGGGGATCCGATTCCTCTCACTTTAAGAGATGAATAGTTACTGGGAAGTGGCTAATCTGGTGCTCCTTCCCCTATCCTCCCAGGGGGTGCAGGGGTATTCACTCAGATCCTCTCCTGTACTTCTTGTGGGTTGGTGGCTGCTACCAGGCCTATCAGCTGGGCAGTCCCTTCCCTGCCATACAGGTGGTCCTCTCTCAGGGGGCTGGTGAGCTCTGAGCTTTCATCCTTTCCAGCTCCAGACCTGCAGGTAGGCCCCATCTCACTGGGCCTCCTCGCAGACTCCTTCCTTCAGCCTCACATCCTCCTCTCTGTCTTCCACCCGAACTCTCCTGCCACTGAGCAGGCTCCTGCACTTTTAAGGGTGCCTCAGCCCCTTGCCAACCTCTTGTTGGGGATTGGCTAGGATCCCTCAAAAGTGCAGCCAGACACTTTTCAAATCCACCCACTGCCTCCAGGGCCTTTTTCCAAAAGACCTAGAGCAGGGGGAAATCCCAGAGGGGCTGGCCTGAAGAGCCTCTCAGCTCTGACCACAAATTGACGGCGGGTATGAATACATAAACTGGCATTTTTGGTGGGCTCTGAGCTTTCATCTTTTCCAGCTGCAGACCTGCAGGTAGGCCCTATCTCACTGGGCCTCCTCGCAGACTCCTTCCTTCAGCCTTACATCCTCCTCTCTGCCTTCCACCCGAACTCTCCTGCCACTGAGATGACTCCAGCATTTTTAAGGGTGCCTCAGCCCCTTGCCAACCTCTTGTTTGGGATTGGCTAGGATCCCTCAAAAGTGCAGCCAGACACTTTCCAAAAGATCTAGAGCAGGGGGAAATCACAGAGGGGCTGGCCTGAAGAGCCTCTCAGCTCTGACCACAATTTGACGGCGGGCATGAATACATAAACTGGCATTTTTGGTAGCTCTATGTAAAAATAACTGCCATTTTTGTTGAATGGCACCCCAAGGCACCTGCATTGTGGTATGTAACAGCACATGGTAGTGCGTTGGGTTAGGGAAAAAGAAGGAACATGCGTCTTTTTTTTACTGTGCGTGGGCAGCCCATTCATTACAATGCAACGCAGGTTAGCGCCTGACATAGCGATCGTCCGCTGATCAGCCCTCTTTTGGGTCAGAAATGAGCCAACTTGAAGTCGGGAGGATTGCTTGCGTTGACCAGGCCATTTATGGACACGTTCTGTAGGGTCGGACCTGTCCGTTCTGTGTTCTTCACAGCCTGGCCTATACTTTCTGCATTGTGTCATCCGCTGAAGCGAATCCACCTCCCCCCCACCCCCATTCCAGGGCCCCAGACAAACGAGAGCCCCGGGGGGAACAATGAGCAACTCTGGACAGCTCCAGCTGTTGGTGTCAGTCCACCGTGTGAGCCAAACATGGAAGTGAGACCAAGTCAATTACTCCTCCGCTACATGGAAAACTCAGCGGGAACCTTATTGGAAACACATTGTCTGGTCAGCAGTCAGAGAGATTTCGGAATAAGACGCTTTTTGGCCGCCGACCAGAAGTTATTTTTATAAAGTAGATGAGAAAAGTTCACAAAGACCGGAGATAAGAGCTCGTGGACTTCGGTCTCCATAACTCCGGAGGGTGCTCTCCTCTCCTCCAGCGCATCGGCTATTCTCCAACCCAACAATTCCCATCGTCCTCCCAAAGAATCCCAATTAGATTCTCGTATTGCGTGCGTGGAGGTATCGGTGCTCCGGGGAACTTTCATTTCTGTATCTCTGAGTGGTGGGGGTTCTGAGCTCCCATCTGAGCTGAGTTCCCATCTCCACCCCTTGAGTTCTGAGTTCCCATCTCCACCCCTTGAGTTCTGAGTTCCCATCTCCACCCCTTGAGTTCTGAGTTCCCATCTCCACCCCTTGAGTTCTGAGTTCCCATCTCCACCCCTTGAGTTCTGAGTTCCCATCTCCACCCCTTGAGTTCTGAGTTCCCCATCTGTGTTCCCACCCCACCCCTTGGGTTCTGTGTTCCCATGACCCCTTGGGTTCTGTGTTCCCATCTCCACCCCTTGGGTTCTGTGTTCCCAGTTCTGTGTTCCCATCCCCCATTGGGTTCTCCCACCCCTTGGGTTCTGAGTTGGGTCTGAGTTCCCATCCCCACCCCTTGGGTTCTGTGTTCCCATCTCCACACCATGAAGTCTGAGTTTGATGCTACACACTATGAGCTCCCAGCGCCACCCCCTGTTTTGAGTATTAAGCCCCACCCCTTGAATTCCCAGCTTCACCGGTGCATTGTGGAGATTAGACTTCTCAGCCCTCTACCTCCAGAGTTGTAAGATCTGAGCTCCAACCCCTAGTTGGAGTTCCCAGCTCCGCCCCTTTAGTTTTGAGTTCCCAGGCCCAACATCATGAGTTCTGAAGTTATTTTTTATAAAGTAGATGAGAAAAGTTCACAAAGACCGGAGATAAGAGCTCGTGGACTTCGGTCTCTATAACCTCTGAAGTGTCCTCTCCTCCAGTGTATCGGCTATTCTCCAACCCAACGATTCCCATCGTCCTCCCGAAGAATCCCAATTAGATTCTCATATTCCGCGTGTGGAGGTATCGGCTCTCCGGGGAACTTTCATTTCTGTATCTCTGAGTAGTGGAGGCTCCGTGTATAATGAGAAAAAAGAAGTCCAAAAAGATATTTTAGTTTAAAAAGGTTACATATGTTCCAGGCGTGTCGAAAACAAAAGACGTTCGATGTCCTATAGGTTACAGTCTAGAGAAGAAAAACCTGTCCCATGTCAGCAGGCCACAGAGATGGACCCTTTCCTCTCTGTGTGAAAGCAGTGATCCCACTGCAGAGGTCCAACACACTCAACTGGGGAGTCGGAGCTAGAGTTCTCCATACAGCAGGGAGCATGCGCTTTGCTGATTACATTGGACTTCTGCAGAGAGACTGCTGCTTTCACACCAGGTTCCCAATTCCACCTCATGAGTTTTGGGTTCTCAGTACCACATCGAAAGTTCTGAGATCTCCACCGACTGAATTCTGAGCTCCACCCCCTGAGATTGCAGCTTCACCCCCTGAGTTTTGACTTGCTAGCGCCACACCATGAGTTCTGAGTAGTAAACCCCACCACTGAGTTTTCAGCTCTACCCCCTGCATCCCAGAGATCTGAGTTCTCCGCTATACCAAATGAGTTGTGAGGTCCCATCCCCACCCCTTGAGTTCTGGGGTCCCATCTCTGCTCCTTGAGTTCTGGGGTCCCATCTCCACTCCTTGGGTTCTGGGGTCCCATCTCCACCCCTTGGGTTCTGGGGTCCCATCTCCACCCCTTGGGTTCTGGGGTCCCATCTCCACCCCTTGGGTTCTGGGGTCCCATCTCCACCCCTTGGGTTCTGGGGTCCATCCCCACCCCTTGGGTTCGGAGCTCCCATCCCCACCCCTTGGGTTCGGAGCTCCCATCCCCACCCCTTGGGTTCGGAGCTCCCATCCCCACCCCTTGGGTTCGGAGCTCCCAACTCCACCCCTTGGGTTCGGAGCTCCCAACTCCACCCCTTGGGTTCGGAGTTCCCAACTCCACCCCTTGGGTTCGGAGTTCCCAACTCCACCCTTGGGTTCGGAGTTCCCAACTCCACCCCTTGGGTTCGGAGTTCCCAACTCCACCCCTTGGGTTCCCCAACTCCACCCCTTGGGTTCGGAGTTCCCAACTCCACCCCTTGGGTTCGGAGTTCCCAACTCCACCCCTTGGGTTCGGAGTTCCCAACTCCACCCCTTGAGCGGAGTCCCAACTCCACCCCTTGCGGAGTTCCCAACTCCCCCTTGGGTTCGGAGTTGCCAGCTACACCATGCCCCACCCCCCTGAGTCCCAGCGCCACCCCCTGATATTAAGCCCCCCACCCCCTGAATTCCCAGCTTCACCGGTACATTGTGGAGATTAGACTTCTCAGCCCTCTACCTCCAGAGTTGTGAGATCTGAGCTCCAACCCCCAGTTGGAGTTCCCAGCTCCGCCCCTTGAGTTTTGAGTTCCCAGGCCCAACATCATGAGTTCTGAGATTTGAGCTCCACCCACTGAGTTCTGAGCTCCACCCCCTGAGTTCTGGGATTGCAGCTTCACCCCCTGAGTTTTGAATTGCCAACGCCACACCATGTAAACTCCACCCCTTGCATTCTTATTCCCACTCCAGAGACCTCAGCTACACCCTTCGAGTTCTGAGTTCCCATCTCCAGCCTCAGGTCTGAGTTCTAAGATACACACTGAGCTTCCAGCCCAGAAATTGGAGTTCTCAATTTTCTACATCCAGAGGTCTGAGATCTGAGCTCCACCCCCTGAGTTCCCAGCTCCACCCCTTGAGTTCTGAGTTCTCATCTCCAGCCTCCAAGTTCATGTGGTCTGAGTTCCCAGCTCCACCCCCTGAGTTCCCAGCTCCACCCCCTGAGTTCCCAGCTCCACCCCCTGAGTTCCCAGTCCACACCCCCCACCCCCTGAGTTCCACTCCCCTGAGTTCCCAGCTCCACCCCCTGAGTTCCCAGCTTGAGTTCCCAGAGTTCCCAGCTCCACCCCCTGAGTTCCCAGCTCCACCCCCTGAGTTTGAGCTCTCCATTTTAGAGTTCTGACTTTCATATTTCTATATATTTTATATTTGGGGGGGGCGATCCCCGGAGGGGCGATCCTTGGGGGGGGGGGGGGGCGATCCCCGATCCCCTCTTGTATTTCTAATTTTTTATGAGTGATTCTAAAAGAGAAAAGGCTCAGATCCATAAAAGCTTCTATATTAGTTAAAATCGTGGCCCCTTACATGAACCCCTCCCAATTCTCCACCCCTCCCCCCTTACAACCTGGTGGCATAGCCAAATGGGAGTCTTAACTCACTAGCGCCCCCTACAAACAGAAATGTTGCTTTTGGATGGACTAATCCTTTAAAACGATGCGGCTCGGGTTGATACTTGGAAGTGTTTCCAGATTGAAAGCCAATAAATGTAAACCAATAACATATTTGTGTTGTGATGTCACTTCCCCGAGGAGGACCCCGAGCTTGGCTGGACGTCGTGACAGCCGTATGATATGGATTGTGCTCCGTCCTTTATGTGTCGTCGGGGAGCGACGCTGTGTGCGTCCAATGCAGATCATTGCCGAAATCCCAGCATATTGTTATTCAGTGCATTGTTCTCCCCCGTCGGACACGACTTGCTGACTTGTATTGAGAGAAATGCAGCAAAGCGCAATGAAACTAATCCGGAAACATTGCTGTCTGTGTCCCTGCTGGGCAGATTCCCCTTGAAGATTCCCCTCCCTTCTCCTCGGATCCAGCTTGGGTCTCCTCGTCTTCCTCCAGCCTTCCCCCGAGTCAGTTCCTGATGTACCGCTACCTCCTTGTGCTCAGTGTTCCTGCACACAAAATATGTCCCTGGGCCACCTCGTGCACCCCTCTGTCTCCAAGAGCACCCCCATGTCACCCAGTGTGCTCCTGTATGCTCTGGTGTGGCCCCGTGCCTATGGTGCACCCCCATATCTGAGTGTGCCTCGGTGTGCCCCTGTACGTTCAGTGCGCCCCCATGTCACCCAGTGTGCCCCTGTGCACCCCCATGTCACCCAGTGTGCTCCTGTACGCTCTGGTGTGGTCCCGTGCCTATGTGCACCCCCATATCACCCAGTGTGCTCTCGGTGTACGCCCCTGTGTCCTGCGCCTCCAGTGCACCCTTGTGGTCTCTGTGCACCCTATCCATCCAGTGCACCCCCCCCCCCGTGTCCTCTTGTGTGCCTGATCTTATCCAGTGCACCCCTGTGCCTCCAGTGCACCCCCCGTGTCTTGGTGTCCCTATCTTATCCACTGCACCCCTGTGCCCCAATGCACCCCTGTGTCTTCTTGTGCGCCCCATCTTATCCACTGCACCCCTGTGCCTCCAGTGCATCCCCCCCCATGTCTTCTTGTGTGCCCCATCTTATCCAATGCACCCCTGTGCTTCCAGTGCATCCCCCGTGTCTTGTGTGCCCCATCTTATCCAGTGCACCCCTGTGCCACCAGTGCATCCCCCGTGTCTTCTTGTGCTCCCCATCTTATCCACTGCACCCCTGTGCCTCCAGTGCACCCCCCGTGTCTTCTTGTGCGCCCCATCTTATCCACTGCACCCCTGTGCCTCCAGTGTCCCCCGTGTCTTCTTGTGTGCCCCATCTTATCCAGTGCACCCCTGTGCCTCCAGTGCATCCCCATGTCTTCTTGTGTGCCCCATCTTATCCAGTGCACCCCTGTGCCTCCAGTGCATCCCCATGTCTTCTTGTGCGCCCCATCTTATCCAGTGCACCCCTGTGCCTCCAGTGCACCCCCATGTCTTCTTGTGTGCCCCATCTTATCCAGTGCCTCCTGTGTACCCCCCGTGTCTTTCTTGTGCACCCCATCTTATCCAGTGCACCCCTGTGCCTCCAGTGCACCCAGATTTTCGTCCCAGCTATGGCCGGCATCTTTACTTCTGTCCCTGCAGAGAGCTCCACTATTATATTTATATGAAAGTCTTGCGGTTGCAACAATGTATCCATTTGTATCCATTTCAGATACAGATGGTTTTATTTGGATACAAATAGATACATTGTTGCAACCGCAATACTTTCATAGAAATAGAATAGTGGACTGGAATTCTTCTTCTTCTTCTTCCAGGTCACGGCTCATGCGCAGATTTTTTATCAGTAAAACGATCGGCCGATTTGCCCATCATTGCCAGGAAATTGGCCGATCGTCAAAATCGGGCGCGAATTTTCCAACTTGACCAATTAAAAAAAAATGTGCCAAAACTCCGAAAAAACGACCGACCACTTAACCCACTAACAACAGTGCGAAAATCGGACGATTTTTGACCCGTCTATGGCCGGCATTACTTTCTGCTTGGGACAGGAAATGGAGAGATCTTCATGACACAGAAAAACAAACCTGCCGGGGTGGGGGGGGGGGGGGGGGGGATGGGGGGGAGGAACAGTAACAGTTTTGGCTTTCCATCCAGTTTAATCAGGCAGCTGACCTTCATATTGGACCTTCTATTCTATAAATACGTTGAGCAGCCCTCGGCCTCCATTTATCTGGTTCCTCATTGACTCCCTTCCCAGGTGCAGACCCAACGCTGCCAAAATCGTCGGCTCCGCTCAGGTCTGGTAATGTCATGGCCGCGCTATGTGCGGTTTTATGTCGGCGAGCTCCAACATCGAATCTATAGCATCCGGCACATCTGTGCAAACAGCGTCTGGAGTCACCGCAGGGTCAGACAAGGACCCTCGTTCCATCCTCTCCCACATATCTGCATGAATACGGACCGGAGAGATGGAATCTGTGATCAGAGGAGCGGATCGCAGGGTGAGCGATCCCAGTGCTCCCCCTTCCTCGTATGTTCGGCATCCTGCAGTGAGAAGGCTGTACAGGAAAGTGAAGGTGGCTGGGAGAGTCACTGCACATTGCGATCGATCAATATCTGCTGAACCAGACGTGCGTTTATAAACGGCTCGGCATACAAGGGGTTAATGCAGGCTGGCGCTGGAGCCGGGAGCTTCCTATTGATTTCCAGAGCCGGCGCCGAGCTTTCAGATAAAAAGGATCCGTGTGGCTCTAGGATCACCTGATCACTTTATGGGGCCCTGAAGGTGTGCCACCCACGCTCAACACCAACCCCTCCCCCACCACCTTCCCCAGCGGTGCCGCCAGTGGTGGTTCCAAGACTTTCCTCTCTCTTCGGTGAGCCCAGGGCCACAGTAAATGGCTCCACCAATCGGAGTAGGAGGAGATCAGGAACAACCCCTGTGAGAGGATAGGTGGCACTATGGGAGGTGGGAGGCACTGTGAGGGTTCTTGGGCACTGTGGGCCAATGTGGGAGGTTAGGTGGCACTGTGGGCCACTGGGAGTAGAAAATGCCCTGACATCAGTAGGAGTAAACCACGGCTCATCATTAATGTCAGTGAAAGGAATAGTGCTCCATCATTGGTGTCATTAAAAAAATTAGTGACCATCGATGGTGTCAGTGGAAGGAGTAGTTGCCCCATCATTGGTGTCAGTGGGAGGAATAGTGCCCCATCATTGGTGTCAGTGGGAGGAATAGTGCCCCATCATTGGTGTCAGTGGGAGGAATAGTGCCCCATCATTGGTGTCAGTGGGAGGAATAGTGCCCCATCATTGGTGTCAGTGGGAGGAATAGTGCCCCATCATTGGTGTCAGTGGGAGGAATAGTGCCCCATCATTGGTGTCAGTGGGAGGAATAGTGCCCCATCATTGGTGTCAGTGGGAGGAATAGTGCCCCATCATTGGTGTCAGTGGGAGGAATAGTGCCCCATCATTGGTGTCAGTGGGAGGAATAGTGCCCCATCATTGGTGTCAGTGGGAGGAATAGTGCCCCATCATTGGTGTCAGTGGGAGGAATAGCGCCCCATCATTGGTGTCAGTGGGAGGAATAGCGCCCCATCATTGGTGTCAGTGGGAGGAATAGCGCCCCATCATTGGTGTCAGTGGGAGGAATAGCGCCCCATCATTGGTGTCAGTGGGAGGAATAGTGCCCCATCATTGGTGTCAGTGGGAGGAATAGTGCCCCATCATTGGTGTCAGTGGGAGGAATAGTGCCCCATCATTGGTGTCAGTGGGAGGAATAGTGCCCCATCATTGGTGTCAGTGGGAGGAGTAGTTGCCCCATCATTGGTGTCAGTGGGAGGAATAGTGCCCCATCGTTGGTGTCAGTGGGAGGAGTAGTTGCCCCATCGTTGGTGTCAGTGGGAGGAATAGTGCCCCCTCATAAAGAACTACTTTAGAAACCTCGCTGAAATTGCACACAAATTGCGCAGTGGTGTGCGCAGTGACTCTCTGCGTGTCTTTTTTCCTCGCCTCACACCTGTGCAGCTTTAAAATCGCGCTACTTGAGGGCCATAGACTTCAATGTAAACCCTCCGAGGTGCCTAAGTGATCCTGCGCAGTAGCGACGACTATTGCGATTTTTCTGGGGTTGTTCCAATGGCGGCCGGTTCTTCAATTGGTCGCAGTCTGGCCGGGGATGTTGGGAACACCGGCGCCCCTCGCAGGGAAGGCGCTCCAGCTGCTGGATCTCAGCGTCTCGTGCGTTCTCCTTCTCTGTGTGTTTTAGGGAATAACAAAAGAAAAAAAAAAAAAAAATCCTTGGGCCGCGCTGCCAGATTCCAGCTGCAGAAGGGAATGACTCACTGCGGAATCTTCCGGAGGTTGTGTGCCGAGCGCGCTCACTTCTCCCCATTCTGTTCCTCTAACGCCGCGCGTCTCTCTTCTCCCTCCAGGCGAGTCCCCCAAGGAGAACCCCTACGAGGATGTGGACCTGAAAGGGCGACACCGCAAGTCCCAGCTGTCCCCCGACGGCCCCGCAGACCCGGCAAACAGGATGTGGAGGACACCAGACAGGAAGTACACCACTCCAACCCAGGTAGGGGACACCTTTTGTTTCTGTGAGTTGCAGGCCCCCCATGGGGCGGAGCCATGTCACCAAGAGCGAGGCTGGAAAACGCCTCCCAGGGGCTGCAACTTCATCTCTGGTGGTCCTGGGGGTGGGGGGCACGTTAAAAATGTAATCCACCCAAAATTCATACTTCTGTTCACTCCATACCCCGACTGCCAAATGTGAGGATTTATCTTTAAATAGGAAACACTTTTTTTTATTTTTTTATTTTTTTTTTCTAGTTTTTTCCTTTTTATTATAGTTTTTTTTTCCTTTTTTATTTTTTTTATTTTGTAGTTTTTTATTTTTGTTTTAGTTTTTTTTTTTTTTAATTTTTTTCCTTTTTTTAATTTTTTCTGTTTTTTCCTTTTTATTATAGTTTTTTTTTTTTTTTTTTTTTTTTTTTTTTTTTTAATAGTTTTTTCCTTCTATATATTTTTTTTTTTTTTAATAGTTTTTATTTTTTTTAAATTTTTTTTCCTTTTTTTTTAGTTTTTTTTTTATTTTTTTTTCTAGTTTTTTTTTTTTTTTTTTTTTTTTTAGATTTGGATGGAGAGGGATTACCGCCCCTGTCAGGTTTTTATTGCTGTATGCCCCAGGGTGCGGGTTCCAGGGCTGTCATTGACCTGGAAGACCGATGGAAGATGGGAGTTCAGCTTCACTGGTCCAATGCTTGCCCGTATCATTGATGGCCAGATTAGGACGGTCCTGGAACCTGCATTCCTCTCACCTTGTGATACTGCTAAGCGCACTCTTGTGCTGGGAAACCTGAATGTCCAAATTCCTGGCTGAGTCCAGCTGTGACCGGTTCTCTTTATTGGCTGACAGTTGTGATTTTTGTTCCCTCCTAGATCACATCGAAGTCAGGCGGTCATTCGTTGCGTGTCGGGACCTCCTCTGAGAGGAAGGGGCACCGCGTCACCCGCCTGCCGAAAAGGCACAGCCACGACGACATGTTGCTGCTGGCCCAGCTCACAATCCCCCCCTCCCCCTCCAGCCTGAACGAGGACAGCCTGAGCACCGCCAGCGGGCTCCTGAACTCTCGCCGGGCCCGCAGGATCCCGAAGGTGAGGGTACAGCGAGGACGCGGGACGCGGGGGGGGGGGGGGGGGGGGGGCATTTTTAAAAATAGTTCCAACATCGTTCAACTGGAAGGCCATTGGTCAGAGATGGGAACTGACGCCATTGGCCGAGGCTGCCCGGTGAGCGCTGTAGGAGTTGACGCCGTCCGCCGGTTTCCAGGCCAGTTGAGTATTTTTAGCCTGTGAACCAGCCGGGTTCCTCCATTCACTCTTCCTCTTCCCCAGAACAGTTCTATATAAAGTTGTAGAGTGCCGGAAAGTTCTGCCAAGAGGAACAGAACGAATTACTGAGCGATCGGCGGAACATCGAACAGCCGGCCCATAGAGATGCTCTATATAATCATGGAGAACGAGGAGCCAAATTTACATCAATGCTGCGGTGATCACATGACTTTGTTTATGAAGAAAGAGTTCACTTTAGAGTTTGGGTGGCACCAGAGCTAGCATTGGGGGTAGCATTAGGGTCGGAGTTGGGGGTCGGCATTGGGCTCGGAGTTGGGGGTCGGCATTGGGCTCAGAGTTGGGGGTCGGCATTGGGCTCGGAGTTGGGGGTCGGCCTTGGTCTCGGAGCTGGGGGTCGGCCTTGGTCTCGGAGCTGGGGGTCGGCCTTGGTCTCGGTGCTGGGGGTCGGCCTTGGTCTCGGTGCTGGGGGTCGGCCTTGGTCTCGGTGCTGGGGGTCGGCCTTGGTCTCGGTGCTGGGGGTCGGCCTTGGTCTCGGTGCTGGGGGTCGGCCTTGGTCTCGGTGCTGGGGGTCGGCCTTGGTCTCGGTGCTGGGGGTCGGCCTTGGTCTCGGTGCTGGGGGTCGGCCTTGGTCTCGGTGCTGGGGGTCGGCATCGGTCTCGGAGCTGGGGGTCGGCATCGGTCTCGGAGCTGGGGGTCGGCATCGGTCTCGGAGCTGGGGGTCGGCATCGGTCTCGGAGCTGGGGGTCGGCATCGGTCTATGAGCTGGGGGTCGGCATCGGTCTCGGAGCTGGGGGTCGGCATCGGTCTCGGAGCTGGGGGTCGGCATCGGTCTCGGAGCTGGGGGTCGGCATCGGTCTCGGAGCTGGGGGTCGGCATCGGTCTCGGAGCTGGGGGTCGGCATCGGTCTCGGAGCTGGGGGTCGGCATCGGTCTCGGAGTTGGGTTTTTGTTTCGGATTAATTCGTTCAATTAATAATTTTGTCATTCGTTATATTTTATTCTATTCTTTGCCATTCTTTTCTACTCTATTCTATTCCTTTATTTTCTATGTTTATTCTATCCTTGTGTTTTCTATTTTAATCTATTCTATTGTTTTATTCTCTTCTATCTTATTCTGTCCTTTTTATATCCTATTCTATTAAGTGGCCTAAGTAGCAATCGTCTTATTTCACTGTTGACATTTCCTGTGTTTATTGCAATATATCTCCACGTCAAATTCATTTTCCAATTCAAATTTGGATCAATTTTTTTTTCGTTCTGATTTTTATTTTGGATTTCTTTGAAATTCGTTACAATTCAGACACACCCCAATCTCCAAATAACGAAAGTTTCCTCCGAAATTCGATGTGTAACTAAACGAAGCACACGAGTCTAGTCAGAGGTTATGCCGGCCACAGATGGTTCGTTTATCGGCTGAATTTGCGGCCGAAAAAAAAAATTCTGTTGTCGTTCTGTTGCCACCAATGCTTACGAAAATCGGCCATTTTTCGGTAAATTTTCCAGCATGACCGATAAAAGAAACGAGGAGGAACAGCGAAAATCGGCCGATGACATTGCCCCACTAACGGTGTGAATATCGGCCAATAAATGAACCGTCTATGGGCTGCATTAGGGTCGGTCACTCCGATACGACTTTGAAATTGCGCGAGTTCCAGCGAAGTTGCGTGGTTTCGATGTTGGATTTCGGGTGCGACTCTCGGGACATCTGCGGCTGGCCAGACACAGACCTCTGTGCGAGTTGCCCCTGAAGTTGAGCGTGCGCTACTCTGAAAATCGACCAGGTCGGAATCGCAGCGAAATGATCGCTTCACCGCGGACTGTAGGATGCGACTTGAAACACGCACGGTCATGGCAGATCGCACCCGGCATGGGCGTGGTCAGAGCGAGGATTGGGGGCGTTGGGTGAGATCCCTCATCCCTGGCCATTGATGTGAGATCTGGAATGTTCTAGGACGAATTCCGAGACACGATCGATCATTAACACGTTTTATTCCGCTCCTCCAGCTCGTCCAGAGGATAAACTCCATCTACAGCGCCAAGAGAGGGAAGAAACGACTGAAGAAGCTTTCCATGTCCAACATTGAGACGGCCTCCCTGCGAGGTACAGAGCCCCGCCCCCCATTCCTCCCATCCCCCGCGGGTTCCCTGTGGTACCCTCCACATCCTCATTGGGCACGCCAGTATAAATGGTGGTCTCCGTCATGCTGGTTCCAGGGTCGGGGATGGGGGTGTAGCACAATGGGGCACAGTGCCTCCCAATGACACCAACGATGGGGCATAATGGTACTAAGGATGGGGCACAATTCCTACCAATGACACCAACAATGGGACCCAATGACACCAAGGATGGGGCACAATTCCTCCCACTGACACCAACAATGAGGCATAATGACACCAATGATGGGGCCCAATTCCTCCCAATGACACCAATGATGGGGCCCAATTCCTCCCAATGACACCAATGATGGGGCACACTTCCTCCCAATGACACCAATGATGGGGCACACTTCCTCCTCCCACTGACCACCCAATGATGGGGCACACTTCCTCCCATTCCCACTGACACCAATGATGGGGCACTATTCCTCCCACTGACACCAATGATGGGGCACTATTCCTCCCACTGACACCAATGATGGGGCACCATTCCTCCACTGACACCAATGATGGGGCACTATTCCTCCCAATGACACCAATGATGGGGCACACTTCCTCCCACTGACACCGATGAATGGGGCACACTTCCTCCCAATGACACCAACAATGGGGCACATAATGGCACTAAGGATGGGGCCCAATTCCTCCAATGACACCAATGATTGGGCACCAACTGACACCAATGATGGGGGCACACTTCCTCCCAATGACACCAATGACGGGGCACTATTCCTCCCACTGACACCAATGATGGGACACTATTCCTCCCACTGACACCAATGATGGGGCACTATTCCTGCCATTGATACCAATGATGGGGCACTATTCCTGCCCACTGACACCAATGATGGGGCACTATTCCTCCCACTGACACACCAATGATGGGGCATTGTTTTGCTGACAAAAGGATGGGGCATTGATTCTGATGGTCACAATGCAGCCCCTCTAAAGTCTTAAAGAAAAAAATGTTTTGGAGACCCCCTGGGTTAGAGCCTCTGTCTGGTGTGTATTGGCAGTTACTTCCCTGCTGAGAGGAGATTTGTCTTCTCTGGACAGGAAGTGATGGGAACTCTCTCCAAGAGAAGGCGTGGTCACCTAAGTCACATGGTCCTCTGGCTACCACAAGCATTGTGTGCATATCACACCATTAGAGACTGCGCCGCGTCTGTTGTCTTCACTTGCTGCGAGATGCAATCGATCCGCACAGCCAATGAGAAGGCAGCAGAACCTGCATATGTAATGATCCAATATGTCCGCCGCTCTGTGCGCCGTCCCTCGCCTCTCCGCCACTCACATTCTCTCTCATTTTTTTTTTTTGCGCAGATGACAACAGCGAGAGCGAGAGCGACTCCGACGATCGGTTCAAAGGTGAGGCGCTGCCCCTCCTTCATTGGTAAAGTTTCCTAGAAAAAATATTCAATTAATCGATCTGCCCGAATTTATAGCTACAGATAACGAACGGGCCAATCCGCACAAAAGTGACATCTCCGTGATAGGTGGAGCCTGGTGGGCGGAGTCTTCAGCAGAAATCTCTCTGCCATAGTTTTGGCTCTCCGCCCCCACTTCGGGGTGTTCCCATTCAGCGAAGGAGTAGGGAGTAGCTGAGCCAGTGAGTCTCTCCTGCTGGGAGGGGGTAACTGGGCCAGTGAGTCACTGCTGGGAGGGGGAAAGCTGAGCCAGTGACGTCACTGCTGATTGGCCAGCCCAGGCTCACTTTGACCCCTGCCCCCCCTTCAGTTCTGCCCCCTAGTAGACACGGTCGGAGATTCTGATGTATCGGGATTTCTGGATGACATTAGTAATGATTTTCCCCTGATGTAGAATGACGGGGCCGTTCTGGGAGGGGGGCGTCACATGACATCATCCCCGTGATAGGTTGGACTGCCACATGTGCGCCCCCCAGCAGAAATCGAGCCGTGTTCCTCGGACTCAGCGCATCACAGATTTCAGTGCCCACTCAGTGCAGCCCCATCCCAGTGCAGCATATCATGCCCATCAGCTGCAGCAACCCCAAAAATTGCATCGTTGCAATATCAGTGACCATCAGTGCAGCCCCACATCAGTGCCTGCGTGAGGACACACCCATCATTGCAGCATATCAGTGCCTATCAGTGCAGCATATCAGTGCCTGTCAGTGCAGCCCCATCAGTGCAGCATATCAGTGCCTGTCAGTGCAGCCCCCGATCAGTGGGAGGGGGTAGCTGGGCCATCAGTGCACTGCATATCAGTGCCTGTCAGTGCAGCCATCAGTCACATATCTGGGAGGGTGTCAGTGCAGCCCCATCAGTGCTGGAGGGGGTATCAGGCCTGTCACTGCTGGTGAGGGTCAGTGCTGGGCATATCAGTCACTGCTGGTGCAGGGTGTCAGCTGGGCCAATGATCAGTGCCCAGGTCAGTGCAGCTGGGCCAATCAGTGCACTGCTGGGAGGGGCAGCTGGGCCATGAGTTACAGCATGGGGAGGGCCTAGCTGCAGCCCAGTGAGTGCACTGCTGGGAGGGTGCCTATCTGCAGCATATCAGTGCCTCACTGCTGGAGTGCAGCTGGCCATGAGTGCAGCATATCAGTGGGCCATAGTGAGCCCCATCATCACTGCCTGTGAGGGGGTAGCTGGGCAGTGCAGTCATCATTGTGCTGTCAGCTGCAGCATATCAGTGCCTGTCAGTGCAGGGCCCTCATCAGTGCACATATGCAGTGCCTATCAGTGCAGGTGCCCATCAGTGAGTCACTCAGTGGGAGGGGGTAGCTGGGCCATGAGTCATGCTGGGAGGGGTAGCTGGGCCAGTGAGTCACTGCTGGGAGCATATAGCTGGCCTGTCAGTCACTGCTGGGAGGGGTAGCTCAGGGCCAGTGAGTCACTGCTGCGCCATCAGGTAGCTGCAGAGCCAGTGAGTCACTGCTGGGAGGGGGGTAGCTGGTCACATCAGTTTGCAGCATATCAGTGGGTATCAGTGCAGAGGATCATGCTGGGAGTGGCCTGGGCAGTGAGTGCCTGCAGGGAGGGGTATCAGGGCAGTATATCACTGCTGATTGCCAGCCCCAGGCAGTCACTTTGACCCCTGCCCCCCAGTCCTGCCCCATAGTAGACACGTCAGTGCAGCCCCATCAGTGAGCATATCAGTGCATTAGTCATGATTTTCATCCTGTGCAGCATATCAGTGCCTGTTCTCAGTGCATGACCCCATCAGTGCAGCATATCAGTGCCCATCAGTGCCCCCCGGGGTGCAGCCGTGAGGACCTCACATCAGTGCGCATATCAGAAGTGCAGCCCTATCAGTGCAGCATATCAGTGCCCCATCAGTGCAGCCCCATCAGTGCAGCATATCAGTGCCTGTCAGTGCAGCCCCATCAGTGCAGCATATCAGTGCCTATCAGTGACACGCCCATCAGTGCAGCATATCAGTGCCTGTCAGTGCAGCCCCATCAGTGCAGCATATCAGTGCCTGTCAGTGCAGCCCCATCATTGCAGCATATCAGTGCCTGTCATTGCAGCCCCATCATTGCAGCATGTGAGGACAGTGCCCATCATTGCAGCATATCAGTGCCCATCAGTGCAGCCCCATCATTGCAGCATATCAGTGCCCATCAGTGCAGCCCCATCATTGCAGCATATCAGTGCCCGTCAGTGCAGCCCCATCAGTGCTTGTGAGGACTAGTGCCATCAGTGCAGCATATCAGTGCCTATCAGTCCTCACCGACTTCCTTTCCCCCCGCCCTGCGAAGGACACTAACTTCCTGTGGTCCCTCCTCCGTCCTCGCAGCTCACACGCAGCGCCTGGTCCACATCCAGTCCATGCTGAACCGGGCCCCCAGCTATCGCACGCTGGAGCTGGAGCTGATCGAGTGGCAGGAGCGCGAACTCTTCGAGTATTTCGTAGTCGTCTCCATGAAGAAGAAACCTTCCAAAAACAACTACATCCCAGAAGTCTCCTATCAGTTCCCCAAGGTACGTCAACCCCCTCCCCCACCCCCAGGTCACCCCAAAAAACCTCCCGTCTACATTGCCAAAATCCAACCATTTACAAAAGTCAGATAGAGCTCCGCCTCATTTCCTGGCTATATGACGCCCAGCATCATCTAGCGCTTTTCTCCCCAGCCTGACTGTCCCTGGCCCAGCCCCTTTCCACCCCAGCTTGGCTGCTGTCCCAGGCCCCACCCCCTTTCATCCATTGGACTTTCATTTATTGGAGGCTCAGCATCACATGTGGGCGGTTTGCATGCAAATATGTCCTGCCTAGGAACGCCCACTCCTCCAGACTGACACCCGCCCAGCTTTTTAATATTTGCCTAGCTCCTCCCAGGACCCAGCCCACTGCTTCCTTCAAAGAGGAGGAGTACTCTGCATTCAGGAAGCTTTGTGTAGCACCCTGCTCGCCCCCTCCCACCAGCCACGATCTGCCTGCATGGCATAGAAAAGCACATAGACCTGATGATGACATCAGATTTTATCCTTGGCACAGATAAGCCGTCCCGAATGTAACGTTGTGCCTTCTGCTGAAAACCTGCGCTGGGAGAAAACTACAGGGTGTCATCTACATCAGAAAATGCTGATTGCTTGGCTGTCACTCTAAACTGCTGCGTCATTGACTCGGGGGAAAAAAAAAATGTTTTCCGATCAGCCAGACTTCACTGACCACATGCTTGTTCCAAGTCAGTGATTGTCAGGGCCAGAGAACACCAGGCAAGTAGCATTTTCAGACAGAGGTTGGCGGTGCCCCCCTGCAACCTGCCCCCCCCCCACCCCAATACAGGTTCCCAGTACAGGTTCCCCCCTGCACCCCCCCCCCCCCCCCCCCCAGTACAGGTTCCCTTTAAGCACCACATGAAGCTTGAATAACACGATCTTGGCGTTCACAGCTAGAGAGGCCCACCAAGCAGGTGCGGGAGGCGGAGGAACGTCTGAAGGCCATCCCCCAATTCTGCTTCCCAGACGCCCGCGATTGGACGCCGGTATCGGAATATAACAGGTAGGTGGGCCGGGTCCCTGATTTTAATTCTTTTCTCACTGGGATTTATCTACAGGGCTGTTTTAATGTATGGGCACTGCCAGGGGCCCAAGTGCATAGGGGCCCCATGATAATCTTGCATTACATTATACTTGCCAGCTTTTTTGGATTTGTCGGGACAGTCACACTTTATACGAAGCTGTCCCTGGATGGCCCGGGCAGTATCACTGTGCCCTCCTGATCCCAATATTGTGCCCTCCTGATCCCAATATTGTGCCCTCCTGATCCCAATATTGTGCCCTCCTGATCCCAATATTGTGCCCTCCTGATCCCAATATTGTGCCCTCCTGATCCCAATATTGTGCCCTCCTGATCCCAATATTGTGTCCTCCTGACCCCCCCCCCCCGTACTGTGCCCTCCTGACTCCCAGTACTGTGCCCTCCTGACTCCCCCCGTACTGTGCCCTCCTGATCCCCCCGTACTGTGCCCTCCTGACTCCCCCCGTACTGTGCCCTCCTGACCCCCCCCTTACTGTGCCCTCCTGACCCCCCCGTTTTGTGCCCTCCTGACCCCCCCTACTTGTGCCCCCTGACCCCCCCGTTGTGCCCTCCTGACCCCCCCCGTACTGTGCCCTCCTGACCCCCCCCGTTGTGCCCTCCTGACCCCCCCCTTTACTGTGCCCTCCTGACTCCCCCCGTTTGTGCCCTCCTGACCCCCCCCTTTGTGCCCTCCTGACCCCCCCCGTACTGTGCCCTCCTGACTCCCCCCCTTTACTGTGCCCTCCTGACCCCCCCCGTACTGTGCCCTCCTGACCCCCCCCGTACTGTGCCCTCCTGACCCCCCCGTACTGTGCCCTCCTGACCCCCCCCTTTTGTCCCCCTGACCTGACCCCCCCCCCCCCCCCGTTTTGTGCCCTCCTGACCCCCCCCTTTTGTGCCCTCCTGACCCCCCCCTTTTGTGCCCTCCTGACCCCCCCCCGTTTTGTGCCCTCCTGACTCTCCCCCCCCCAATTGTGCCCTCCTGACTCCCCCCCCCCCCGTTGTGCCCTCCTGACTCCCCCCCCTTTACTGTGCCCTCCTGACCCCCCCCCCTGTACTGTACCCTTCTTGTTCTTATTGTTTAAAGTCAATTTTATTGAAAGTATTAATGGACATTTGTCTCATCCTATCAACTATTTATACTTTGAGTATAGGTGTGTAAATTGGGGCGGGCTGGTAGGGGCCCCAGTGCATTATTTTGCTCAGGGGCCCATGATGCTATTAGGATGGCCCTGCTTATCTATTATTATATGTTCTACAGATAAGACCCCCCCATACTTCTGTATTGTCACATGTGCTCCTGTCTGCTTACTTCTAGTGAGACTTTCTCCTTCATGCTGACGGGTGAAGATGGCAGCCGGAGGTTCGGGTATTGTCGCCGCCTACTGGTGAGAAGAGTTTTATATTGTCATCTATGACATACTGGACACTATATTGCCCCAAGTATTGGGCCCCGCCCTTACCACGCACATGACCTTTCATGGCCCCCCAGTCTCAGTCCATAGGGTTCAATATTGAGTTGGCCCCGCCCTTTCCACACACATGACCTTTAATGGCCCCTCCCAGTCTTGGTCCGCAGAGTTCAATATTGAGTTGGCCCCGCCCTTTCCACACACATGACCTTTAATGGCCCCTCCCAGTCTTGGTCCGTAGAGTTCAATATTGAGTTGGCCCTGCCCTTTCCACGCACATGACCTTTAATGGCCCCTCCCAGTCTTGGTCCGTAGAGTTCAATATTGAGTTGGCCCCCACCCTTTGCAGCTATAACAGCTTCAACTCTTCTGGGAAGGCCGTCCACAAGGTTTAGGAGGGTGTCTATGGGAAGGTTGGACCATTCTTCCAGAAGCACATTTGTCAGGTCAGGCACTGATGTCGGGGGAGGAGGCCTGGCTCACAGTCTCCGCTCTAATTCATCCCAAAGGTGTTCTATGGGGTTGAGGTCAGGACTCTGTGCAGGACAGTCAAGTTCCTCCACCCCAAACTGGCTCCTCCATGTCTTTATGGACCTTGCTTTGTGCACTGGTGGGCAGTCATGTTAGAACAGGAAGGGGCCATCCCCAAACTCCTCCCACAAAGTTGGGAGCATGAAATTGTCCAAAATGTCACCTTAAGAGTTCCCTTCACTGGAACAAGGGGGCCAAGCCTAACCCCTGAAAAACACCCCCACACCATAATCCCCCCTCCACCAAACTTTACACTTGGCACAATGCAGTCAGGCAAGTACCGTTTTCCTGGCAACCGCCAAACCCAGACACATCCATCGGATTGCCAGACAGAGAAGCGTGATTGGTCACTCCAGAGAACATGTCTCCACTGCTCTAGAGTCCAGTGGCGGCGTGCTTTACACCACGGCATCTGACGCTTTGCATTGCACTTGGTGTTGGAAGGCTTGGATGCAGCTGCTCAGCCATGGAAACCCATTCCATGAAGATCTCTACGCACTGTTGTTGGGCTCATCTGAAGGCCACACCAAGTTTGGAGGTCTTTAGCTATTGACTCTGCAGACAGTTGGTGACTTCTGCGCACTGTGCGCTTCAGCATGCGCTGACCCCGCCCTGTCATGTGACGTGGCCTACCACTTGGTGGCTGAGTGGCTGTTGTTCCCAGTTGCTTCCACTTTGTTATAATCCCACTAACAGTTGAGCGTGGAATATTTAGTAGCCAGGAAATGTCACGGATGGACTTATTGCCCAGGTGACCACCTATCACGGGACCACGCTTGGAGTCACTGAGCTCCTGAGAGCGACCCATTCTTTCACCAATGTTTGTAGAAGCCGTCTGCATGCCTAGGGGCTTGATTGTATACACCTGTGTCCATGGAGGGGATTGGAGCACCTGAATCACATGATATGGAGGGGATTGGAACACCTGAATCACATGATATGGAGGGGATTGGAACACCTGAATCACATGATATGGAGGGGATTGGAACACCTGAATCACATGATATGGAGGGGATTGGAACACCTGAATCACATGATTGGGAGGGGATTGGAACACCTGAATCACATGATATGGAGGGGATTGGAACACCCGAATCACATGATTGGGAGTGCGGGGGGCCAATACTTGGAGCAATATAGTGAATATATTATGTTATATAATATTGGGTCGGCCATCAGAATTCATCCCTCACTGACCTCCACACACCAGCTGCAAGGGTCTCTGTGATATCTGTTGCAGTTTATAAATGTAACTGGCACATGTGAATAAAGCCTGTTCACTGCAGGAGACACGGAGGCATTCCAGCAGTTTAATCTCCAGCTGCAGAAAGGATTCTCTACTGGAAGAGCTGTGAAATGTGGAATGGTTTTCTGGAGGTTCCAGCAGATACTTTAATGCATTGAAAGGAAATTTGTGGGATTTTTGAGAGATACTTCCAGTTTACAAACTACACAGATCATGTGGGTGAGGGGCCCTGTCCTTGCAGGGGCTGGTTTATAGTGACTGTGGGGGATGTAGTCTGGGGACCGATGTCATCTGCTGTCAGCATGGACCTAGAAGTGAGCAAGGGAGGGAACGGGAACCAATAAGAAAACAGGAAAAGTTTGGCCAGAGTTGGTCTTTAAATCCCCCCTCCACTCTTGCACATGTACCTGATCCTCCCTTCCAGTTTTGCACAGGTGTACCGGCTCCTCCCCTTCAGTCTTGCACAAGTGTACCGGCTCCTCCCCTTCATCTTGCACAAGTGTACCGGCTCCTCCCCTCCAGTCTTGCACAGGTGTGCCGGATCCTCCCCTCCAGTCTTGCACAGGTGTGCCGGCTCCTCCCCTCCAGTCTTGCACAGGTGTGCCGGCTCCTCCCCTCCAGTCTTGCACAGGAGTGCCGGCTCCTCCCCTTCAGTCTTGCACAGGCGTACCGGCTCCTCCCCTTCAGTCTTGCACAGGCGTACCGGCTCCTCCCCTTCAGTCTTGCACAGGCGTACCGGCTCCTCCCCTTCAGTCTTGCACAGGCGTACCGGCTCCTCCCCTTCAGTCTTGCACAGGCGTACCGGCTCCTCCCCTTCAGTCTTGCACAGGCGTACCGGCTCCTCCCCTTCAGTCTTGCACAGGCGTACCGGCTCCTCCCCTTCAGTCTTGCACAGGCGTACCGGCTCTCTCCCCTTCAGCCTTGCAACAGGCCGTACCGGCTCCTCCCCTTCAGCCTTGCACAGGCGTACCGGCTCCTCCTCCCCTTCCCTTCAGCCTTGCAGAGGCGTACCCGCTCCTCCCCTTCAGCCTGCAGAGGCGTACCGGCTCCTCCCCTTCAGCCTTGCAGAGGCGTACCGGCTCCTCCCCTTCAGCCTTGCAGAGGCGTACCGGCTCCTCCCCTTCAGCCTTGCAGAGGCGTACCGGCTCCTCCCCTTCAGCCTTGCAGAGGCGTACCGGCTCCTCCCCCTTCAGCCTTGCACAGGCGTACCGGCTCCTCCCCTTCAGCCTTCACCTTGCACAGGCGTACCGGCTCCTCCCCTTCAGCCTTGCACAGGCGTACCGGCTCCTCCCCTTCAGCCTTGCACAGGCGTACCGGCTCCTCCCCTTCAGCCTTGCACAGGCGTACCGGCTCCTCCCCTTCAGCCTTGCACAGGCGTACCGGCTCCTCCCCTTTCAGCCTTGCACAGGCGTACCGGCTCCTCCCCTTCAGCCTTGCACAGGCGTACCGGCTCCTCCCCTTCAGCCTTGCACAGGCGTACCGGCTCCTCCCTTCAGCCTTGCACAGGCGTACCGGCTCCTCCCCTTCAGCCTTGCACAGGCGTACCGGCTCCTCCCCTTCAGCCTTGCACAGGCGTACCGGCTCCTCCCCTTCAGCCTTGCACAGGCGTACCGGCTCCTCCCCTTCAGCCTTGCACAGGCGTACCGGCTCCTCCCCTTCAGCCTTGCACAGGCGTACCGGCTCCTCCCCTTCAGCCTTGCACAGGCGTACCGGCTCCTCCCCTTCAGCCTTGCACAGGCGTACCGGCTCCTCCCCTTCAGCCTTGCACAGGCGTACCGGCTCCTCCCCTTCAGCCTTGCACAGGCGTACCGGCTCCTCCCCTTCAGCCTTGCACAGGCGTACCGGCTCCTCCCCTTCAGCCTTGCACAGGCGTACCGGCTCCTCCCCTTCAGCCTTGCACAGGCGTACCGGCTCCTCCCCTTCAGCCTTGCACAGGCGTACCGGCTCCTCCCCTTCAGCCTTGCACAGGCGTACCGGCTCCTCCCCTTCAGCCTTGCACAGGCGTACCGGCTCCTCCCCTTCAGCCTTGCACAGGCGTACCGGCTCCTCCCCTTCAGCCTTGCACAGGCGTGCCGGCTCCTCCCTTCAGCCTTGCACAGGCGTGCCGGCTCCTCCCCTTCAGCCTTGCACAGGCGTGCCGGCTCCTCCCCCTTCAGCCTTGCACAGGCGTGCCGGCTCCTCCCCTTCAGCCTTGCACAGGCGTGCCGGCTCCTCCCCTTCAGCCTTGCACAGGCGTGCCGGCTCCTCCCCTTCAGCCTTGCACAGGCGTGCCGGCTCCTCCCCTTCAGCCTTGCACAGGCGTGCCGGCTCCTCCCCTTCAGCCTTGCACAGGCGTGCCGGCTCCTCCCCTTCAGCCTTGCACAGGCGTGCCGGCTCCTCCCCTTCAGCCTTGCACAGGCGTGCCGGCTCCTCCCCTTCAGCCTTGCACAGGCGTGCCGGCTCCTCCCCTTCAGCCTTGCACAGGCGTGCCGGCTCCTCCCCTTCAGCCTTGCACAGGCGTGCCGGCTCCTCCCCTTCAGCCTTGCACAGGCGTGCCGGCTCCTCCCCTTCAGCCTTGCACAGGCGTGCCGGCTCCTCCCCTTCAGCCTTGCACAGGCGTGCCGGCTCCTCCCCTTCAGCCTTGCACAGGCGTGCCGGCTCCTCCCCTTCAGCCTTGCACAGGCGTGCCGGCTCCTCCCCTTCAGCCTTGCACAGGCGTGCCGGCTCCTCCCCTTCAGCCTTGCACAGGCGTGCCGGCCCTCCCCTTCAGCCTTGCACAGGCGTGCCGGCCCCTCCCCTTCAGCCTTGCACAGGCGTGCCGGCCCCTCCCCTTCAGCCTTGCACAGGCGTGCCGGCCCCTCCCCTTCAGCCTTGCACAGGCGCGCCGGCCCCTCCCTTCCAGTCTTGCACAGGCGCGCCGGCCCCTCCCCTCCAGTCTTGCACAGGCGCGCCGGCTCCTCCCCTCCAGTCTTGCACAGTCGCGCCGGCTCCTCCCCTCCAGTCTTGCACAGTCGCGCCGGCTCCTCCCCTCCAGTCTTGCACAGGCGCGCCGGCTCCTCCCCTCCAGTCTTGCACAGGCGCGCCGGCTCCTCCCCTCCAGTCTTGCACAGGCGCGCCGGCTCCTCCCCTCCAGTCTTGCACAGGCGCGCCGGCTCCTCCCCTCCAGTCTTGCACAGGCGCGCCGGCTCCTCCCCTCCAGTCTTGCACAGGCGCGCCGGCT